GAAAAATTAAACATGCAGGTATTGTGCTGAAAAATGGCATTAAACCCCAAAACAACATTTCCAAACAATATCAAAGCTTAAATAAGAAGTATTTTTTAAAACAAAATTGGGAGAATAAAACCCAATCGTTATTTAAAATGGCCCATTCCATACCTGTCCCCATTATTAATACTGTAAGTATTGTTACAAATAGTGTGAAACAGTGTTATTATGATGATGATGATGATTATTATCTTTATCTACTGCCAGAAGCAATACCTGAAACTTTCATATGTAAACTAAGGACTTCATCAGCAAACTGATGCGATCTCTACTGACTGTCAGCATTGCTCAATGGAATGGCGACCGATGTTAACAGATTGTACCAGATATGTGGCAGGTTGTAACGGCCCCCATCTCTGTTCAGCATTGGTTTGTGCACCAGGATGATGTTGACAGTCAGTAGAGATCACATCAGTCTACTGATGAAGTCCTTAGTGTAAGGAGAGAATAGCTACAGGTTAGCTTTTTCTACTTTTTGTGTATCTAATTTTAAAGTTAAATATATTGTCAAATACTAGCAAAACAGCATGCATGCTTGTTGATCTAATTTCTATTTTTTTAACAACTTTTTTTACTTCACATTCAGAATTGTCAAGGTCATTACATTTAATATTTTTCATTTTCAACGAAGGTAACAGTTATTCTATTTCAAAGGTCTTGAGGTATCAAGTAAGCAATTTCATTGCTTGTGTTTGTTGTTTAAAGACCTAAAGTTCCAATCATCTCACACATGTCATGGCCATTTCAAAACAGATGGTAAAACTAAAATTTATGATCTATTTAAAGGATGGTCATGAATAACACAACTAAAGATGTTTGTAAAATCCGTGAAGTGATTTTTAAATGCTGAACTAATGCTGAACCAAAAAATGAAATGTTTTTGTCAAGCAACAGTAATTATATTTTGTCCAGGGTGCATAATACATGTTGCTATAACCTATTTCAGTGGATGGTACCTGAATCATACAAGCAGCATGGAAAGATGGAGGATTTTATTCTGAGAGGAATAAAAGAGGTGATTCAGTGTAATTCAAATGGCCAGCATTCTCTTTTTTCATCTTTTAGAGTATGATATTAACAGATGGAAGTTCCAAATAGATTAAAAAAAAATTTTCTAGGAAAATATCTTATTTTCATAAAATATTTTTTTGGTTTCCCAGCTAAATATCACTGTGTTGTCCAGGTCAGTGTTTCCATTGTTAATATTCCATGGTTTTCCTTAGTTTTCCAGCCTACCCTGAAAGCAACCTGTAATATTAGTCCCAAGACTCCAGGTTTTTCCATGCTAGACTTTTCCAACATTTCAATGCCAATATTCCATGCTTGTCCATGTTTCTTTTCTCATGATTTCCCTGCATAGCCTGGAATATTAGTCCAAATACTCCATGGTTTTCCATGCTAGAATTTTCCATGGTTGTTCCTGGAATACCATGGAAAATCAGCCGGAAGATTTGGCCATTTGAAAATCTATGGTATGCAAGATAATTCAGTCTTGCATATTTTAGGAATGAAAACATAACATGAACTATCCCTGAAACAACATATTAAATCAAATTAAATACCTTTAAACAAATAAGGATATATAATCTTTATTTTCTTATCACACCATTATTCTAAGAAATTAAAGGACTATAAGACAGCATGGATATAACACATTACCATTTTCAATAAGGTACTTGACAATTTCTTTGTGACCGAATCTAGCTGCATGGTGTAGACAGGTCATTCCATATTGATCTACAGCCATAAGGTTGGCCCCATTATGGTATGACTCGACAAGCTGAAAATCAGTGAAGAAAATGCAGGAGACATTTAATGACATTTTTGCATTTAATATTCCTAGCCATACTTTGCAAGCAAAGGAAACTAAATTCTACATTCAAGGTGGTGTGAATTGCTGATCTTGTATGCCTGTAAAAATGTGTTTCTCTTGTTTTTTTATAAGAGGACTGGCTTGGTTTTCAATAACTAGCATTCAAATTGCAAAAATTTACAATTTCATATAACAAAATAATGAAATTATGGTAACTGGTTTTCTATTACAGTTGAGATGATATGGAACAACATGCTGATGACATGAACAGAAAAAAGGCGTTCAACAAGAACACAAAGTCAACTGAAGCTGCTGATAATATAAATCATTGTATGGAGAATGAATGCCAAGACAATGGCAATTAAGTGCCCTGCAAAGAGATCCGCAATGGCATTCAATCACAGTGAAATAACAATGATTTTCTTAATTTGTTTTATAGAGTAAAGTATTGATGCTGTGACTCATTACATGTAACAGAGAAATATTAAGCAAACCTCTAAGTGCCAACAATTTTAAGCTTACAATAAACTTTGGAACCCACTTCTCAATAATGAACCACATCTGTGAATGAAAGCTTTAAATGCAGAGAGAATTCCTTTTCTTTGCCAGCCTTGATCACATTTCTGAATGAGTACAACCAATCAGTGATTAATGTTAGATACTTTAATCATGTGACTTACATAATAGTTTTGGATTGGTTATCTGAAATGAGTTGACCTGACATATAGGAGATCAAAACACAGTTGGCACTTAATTAGATTCTCATATATGGACACGGTTATGATGGCAGATTGACACTTTTGCAATTATGCTGATTACTCTCAAACCAAATTTAACAGAACACTAATTTCACTCAACATACCTTATTTAATTGGTATTTTTTACTTTCATTGCCGACACCAAGTCATTACTGACATTTTTATGATCAAAATTTTATTGAATATGGTTTTTTAAAATTTATGTATCCTTATTAAAAGTTGCAAATTTCATGATGCTGATTAACATTTTCAGATAATACTTGATGTTTATATTTTTAATGATAAAATGAGTCTTTTATCAAGGTTGCATTTTCCAGTTTTGATTGCAATTTTCTTCAACAAATTTGGGCCAATTCTTTGGCTATTTTAAAGAAAAAAGGTGTGGGGGAAGGGGGGACAAGAATTCATGCATGACCTTATTTTGCAAGTGGCTTTATGAGTTATGCAGGCATGAATTATTCAGGAATTGGTGAACAAAAACAGATACAGAATATATGTGCCTTGCAAGAAAATGTTAAACTTTTAACAATGACTTTATAATCACCATCATTGTTGCCAATAAACTGGCTCACTATAAGCAGGTCCCATCTTTACTTACTTATGCATAAACTACATCAGCAAACAACATAGATCCTGATGTCATCACATAATGCACTGGTGGATCAAGATCTATGTTGTTTTTTTTTCCTACTGATTAGTCCGTACAAACTACATGGACCAATATTTGCCAGTTTATTATGTGACAGCAGATATGGGTCAACGGAATTTGCAATTGGATTAAGATTACAGGCAAGTATATACATACACAAAACTTTACAAAATTTTACCTAATTATTTTAATTATTTTCTTTCAAATAACGACCACTTACCTTCTTGAGATCCCCCCTTTTCGAGGCATCTATCAGCACTGAAATGTAGTACAAAGCAAATTTAAAATGAATTCTGTTGCCAAATTTTCTTGCATTCTTTCTTCATTTGTTTGACTATTGCTTTACAAGAAAATGTCAGTCAGCAATCATTTCTTTTTTCAAGTAAATAAAAATGAAACCTTTTAACTCAATTAAGGTTAGATAAAATGACCATTATCTATAAAACTTATTGTACAAGGAGACAAGAATATGCTTTCTCATTCTAGTACATGAAACAAAATTAAGGTCAGGATACTGTCAATTGTAATATCAGAAGAGGGTTAAAATTTTGTCAAAAAAAAATCACTATTTCTTCCTACAAATATACATTTTGTGCAAAGTTTCACCAGTCTGGGTTATATAATGATCAAAGGAATTCACTTCTATGTGAAAAATACTAACATTCCAACCAGAGATCACAAAACTTTGTAGACAATCATCCTACTATGAAATTAATGGTTAAAACTTTTGTCTTTTCTCTAGATGAAATTTTGGAAATATGTAAAGAATCTTTGCATTTTTTTAATTCTTGATCTTTGTTCCTTACGTTAAGCCATTACATAGAAATGGTAATGATAGTACTGCCACAGCCCATGTAAGACTACCATCTCATGACATTGAGTCACTATTTGCACTGAATGCTTTATGAGTATAAATCTCTCCAAGATCAAAAGTTAAATGAATGTGTAGCAATTTATAGAAGCCATTTAATTTGAATAGTACATTTTTAAAGCCATTCTCAAATTTGTTCTTGCTAAATTTTCTTTCCTTAATTCTTTTCAAAATGCTTATTGTCACCTTTCCTGAGCAAACACATTTCTACCAGACAAGAACTATAGGATAAACATTGCAAGATATCATCAAGGAGGGACACTATTTTAAAGAGCTTAAAGTTTGCCAGTAAGTAAATAAAATACGAAGTCTTACTGTGAATTTTAATAGTAACAGGTCATGTGTGTAGTTCTAAATTAAATTTGAAAAAAAAAAAAATAAAAAAATAATTTGGAACTAAACATTTCTTTCCCTCCCCCACAAAATGTGTTGTGTAGATGTGTTATGGCACACAATTCCACAATATACACAGATGTACTCCTGCTTTAACAAAACGTTTAGGACAATCCTACCAGTAATAATTCTACCATTGCTACTAGAAAAGTGATACCTCAATCCTGGTCTTAAAGCTTATACAGGCAAGACAAGAGTCAAAATGCTCAATCACCCTGATCTGTAGTTTGGCTGAATCTTTAAATGACTTACTATATAGCGTGTGTGTGAGATTTGGATTTTTAAAATTTTTCAGTCCAGTTTATAGTGATGTCTAGCACTGGGGAATTAGGCCATGATGCAGACGCGTATGTAGTATGATGTCCCATCCAGTCACATTATCCTGACACCAGGCCAACCAGTTGTAACACTAAACTCTTAATGCTGAGTGCCTAGCGGGGTAGCTGTTAGTACCATTTTTATAAGTCTTTGGTATGACTCGGCCAGGGTTCGAACCCATGACCTCCTGTATCCAAATCAGACACTCTAACCACTAAGCCATCAGGTCAGTTTAATATATAATATATAACACAAACCTGTGAACATCAAAAGACATAATTTAAAAAACATGAATCTGGAATAAATTCTTTTAGACACAAACAGGAAATTTTTTTTATGAAACTTTTGACAAACATGACATTTAACTGCAGAAATAAAAAAATCAAATCAACAAAACAAAACATACTCTTGTCCATTGTTGGGATGACAGGAAATTTATGTTCCCTTGACAATGGAGGGTGACTCTTTATGGCAGATACACTGTTGGGAATTACTGGAGATCCTGGCTCTGAGCTGCAATCAGAGATTATATGTCCATGTCAGATTATTACAGACTTTTAATGTTTCATTCAACAGAAAATCAACAGTATGTTCATTCCTGGAAGTTTTCTGCCTAAAAACTTCAAGAATGTAATGGAAGGTACATCATATATTTTCAAAGTTATTTTTTAAATAAAGAATTTTATGTCACTATTTTATTTTCTACATCATCATTGTTAGGGTGAGATATCAATATCTTTACATCTACAGGGCATAAAATACACCTAAATACAGTACACATTTGCAAGTCTGACAAAACTAAAAAAACACCCTTTTTAGTCTGAATTAACCTCAGCAAAATGAAACAAACTGAAATAATAAAGTTAAATTTAAAAATGGTAAGAAATGTAATGTTAAAGAGGACACTAGACACAGTTCAGGAGGGGCAGGTCTTGCATTGATATAAGCTTTGCTTCCTATCCATTTAAAACTGAAGAACTGAAGCACAAATCTTGGAATAATCTTATTTTCAATTATGGACAAAGTATAAAAGACAAGAGAACAACATAAACACCTAAGCCAGAAAAAGTGTGGGTCCCTGTGATATTTTTTTTACAGATGTGTACAAAGTTAAGTTTAATGTTTCAAGCACAAACAGTAAAAACACTTTAAGCTAAAGACATTTAAGTGTGAAACTTGGGTCAAAGTGACCACCATTTCAGATACTGTCATCAATATGCATCACCAAGTTTCATGATTCCAGAATGTATAAGCATTAATTGGTATCTCAGCACAATTATGGTTACAATCAAACTCGGTTATTGGTTATCTCATTATGTTGGGGGTGTCCAAAACTTGTTGAATGAGAAAGCCTGCTTCTCAGTGGTTCTTCCCAGGGGTTTTCAGGGTTCTTCCTCCACCATTAATACTGGCCGCCATGTATAGCCTATCTTATGCTGAAAAATGGCGTTAAACCCTATAACAACAACAAAACTTGTTGACATAATCGGGTCCTGAGATATCAGGGATTAGTTGGGAAATTTATTGCAGAACAATGATTATGCATATGAAGTACCACAAATAAGATTTGGCCAATGTGGATATGTGAGAAAGCTTGCCAGTAGCTTCTCGTGGGTTGGCGGTTCTTTCCGGTGTTTTCCTGGTTTCTTCCTCCACCATTAATACTGGCCGCCATGAATAGCCTATCATGTGCTGAAAAATGGCGTTAAGCCCATCAACCAACCAACCAACCACAAATGAGTTTTATATTGTTTCTAAAAACGAATGACATTTTTAATGCACAATAAAAATATTATCTCAATCATGCCTGTTGCAGAAAAAAGAAGATTTGAGGTCTTTTAAATGAAATTAAGTAACAATTACATATTTTTACCACAATAAGTTACTGCAACAAGTTATTTTTTATTTTCTTGTGACTAGCTTTATCCCTTGGGAAGCCTCAGCAAGACAATGATTTTGTTATGCTATCCAAAATCTAGGTCAACTGAATTACATGTACATGTAGGACTATACTTTTCTTTTCAGAACTATTTTCTTTTGTTAGAGTTGACTTGTGACAAGTAGCAAAACATAACTGTCCATATTGTGCATGAAAATCAATCATTTTTTTTGTGATGATCAGAGGTTCCTCTACACCAGTAAAATCCAGTTTGTACTGATAAATTTTCCATCTGTAATGGAAAAAGATGGGGCTGTTGGTATTCATGTACCAACAAACTGTAAAATGTGTTTAAGGTCTTTGAAGTTAACTGTCTCAACATCAAATTTTGCATCAAGCCATCGTATTCCACTCATGCAGTTAGAGGACAACTTATTCCATTCATACAGTTATAATCACATATCCCTTCTGACTTTGATTAGTGACCATCGGCAAATACAAAGCACTAGAGGAAGAGTCAGCTAATCTCTGATGGATTGCAAGACTGATATTCAAGATAAAAGCAATACAAATTAAAGCACTCTTCTTTCTGTTTCAAAATTTTAATCCTATCAGTCGTCTTCTGCTTCATTCAATTTGTGCTTAAGAATATTTAATCATAACACAGTGATCGACAGTTTCATAAAAAACATACTGGGCACTATGGATTTTTTTACAATACAGTTGGTGCTTTTATATAGTCTTGTTCAAAACAAATTAATAATAAATGGGGTGGGAGAGCTTAGTTTGGAGTTTGTGGTTTTCTATTTATAGATTATTGTGAGTCATGTGATCTAGCCAGGCTGAAGTTGAAAGATTACCCTTGCATCGAGCAAGGAAAAACTTCAACTATTACTGAATTTGTTTTAAATGGGTTGTGTAAAATAAATTAATTATTTTTTAACAACATTTAATGATGCTAACCTGATAATTTTCCTAGTTATAGATCAAATTTGCTATTCTGTGTGGGATGAACTACATTGTCTTGGTGTTCATATGTGAACGCAGCTTATGTAAAGGTCAGAAACACATTCACTCAATTTCCTTACTCTAAAGTACTGTTTACAGGATATTCTTCTTCACTCCATGTAAGTGATAAACCATGCATTGATGAGATTGGTTGAAGAGCATTTGTGCCAGTAAAATTTAGTCTTGTACAGTCTTTTTCCATCCTTGCCAGTACGATGTACCAGTAATAATGGAAGTACCGGATCATTTCTTGTAAAATTTCTCTGAGAGGGACATTATAAGTTGTATTTTTTTCAAATTAAGCGGGTCCACATTTTACTTTGGACCGAAACTTATGCCCAACAACAGGGGTCAAGATAAGCAGGGTAAGAATAGCATATTGAAGGATTTTTTGGGACTAGACCAATGTATTCGATATACAAGAGTTCTCTAGATAATTGAGGTTGAGGTAAGTAGTTCTGACTGTATATTGTATGAATTGAAGTAAAGTTCTAAACCTTTCTAAATGAAGAACTGCAAAAAACATACAAAAATTTTCAAAGAGAGATAAACATTCAGTACAACATAAAATATAAATTAGAAAATTTAAAAGTTCTTTTAAATATATATATCAAATATAAGACAAATGCAAAATGTATTGAATTCTACATAAGGCTTATTTCTTTTCAATAAACTGCATCGACGGTTCCAGGTATACCATATTTCATTAAATTTTTTTACCCTTGTTTTTGTTTGTACACAATCAAGCTTTAAAAATAATAAATTAATTAAACATATTTTTCATACACAAAAATTCATACATTTTGGTTAAATCATCTTATGTTTCATGCAAATAAGGTTCTACTGTGAAGCTATACATTTGCCAAAGTGATAGAAAATATCGCACTTTTAGTTTTAAAACAAAGAATAAGAGATTAAAATCATTGTTTTTGTTGTTATTTATCTATTATTTTTATTTCATTTTTGGACGTTAAAAAATGAAGACATGTTCAAACTGCTTTGAATATATAACAAGGTAAGATTTAGGTACATCCAACAACTAGTGTATTATTTTGCTAAGCAAGTTACAAATAGTGATTAACTTTGGGCAAGTTTTTAACTAAGGCATCAAATAGTTTAATAGGAAATTAATAAAATATAATAATCATCATTTATAATCATGCAGAAAGGTCAGTGATCATTTCTTTCTTTTATTATTGTTTTTCACTACTAATTTGTATAATTTTTATTTGCATCAAGTAGTGAAGTTCACATTTTAAATGGCTTTGAAAAAATATCACTAACATTTAGATAAGAAAAACGACCAATGTATTGATTGCCGTGTATGTTTGGTATATGAAATATATATTTGTTTCCTCAATGAAAAACTAAACCAAACTATGTTACCATCGCATAAATGTTTAAATGTGTCAGACATTTTCAATATGGGGCCCCGGAGTGGCCGAGTGGTCTAAAGCACTGACCATTACGGATCACTGCCATCTCACTTTTGTTTGCATGAGTTCGAGTCCAGACTCGGCTAACGTGGGTAAGTGAGAAAGCTTGCTAGTAGCTTCTCATGGGTCGGTGGTTCTTCCCTGGGTTTTCCAGGGTTCTTCATCCACCATTAATACTGGCCGCCATGTATAGCCTATCTTGTGCTGAAAAATGGCATTAAACTCTACAACAACAACATTTTCAATACCCAATGGGTAGCTTCCCCTACATAGAGCATCACCAATTGGATATGATGAGGAGAATCTGGTTTTGAGTATTTACTGGCAAAGACCAAGCTAAGCATCAAAGCGTATTTAATTACCATGTAAAATAGGTCTTCACAGCCATGTGGCCCTAGTGACAATGGATCTCATAATTACAATAGGAATGATTTATTTATTCAGGTTTTAATTGCCAAATACAAAAGTGCCCTTGTAAAAAAAAACTTGGTTGAAAGCAATATTAAACAAAACAATGTTATGCTTATTTTGTTATGCTTATTTTGTTATGTCAGTGCTGTTAAGTTGCCATTCATCTTGTGTCACATAATCTGTTTAGGTCTGAACCCTTTATTTTTTTGACATGGTCACTTCTCCAAAATAATATTTTTTACATATATTATTTTGTACTCTGAAAAGAATAATTATTTTTTGGTGTACAAAAACTACACGAAATATGGTAACATTATTATACAGACGGTCAAAAAGTCCTTTGCGATTATAATCTAAATACAAAACCTTGACAGACATGTAAAATGTGGATCACTAAGTTTGTGTTTGTCTTAGTGCAATACTAAAATTAGAACTTTAAGTGTAATTTACAAGTTAGTACAGTGTATTCAGTAAATATGTGTAGAATATAATTGA